TGCGTTCTGGCATCTTATGCGCCGGCTATGGCTGCACGTCTATTTTCAAGCTGCTAAGTTATCTCACTTTTTTCTGCTCATCTCAAACGCTGTGTTCCTCCCAAGTTATAGTTTCGTATTCTCAAGTCTTCAGTGAAGTTTTCATCCTGATCTCTCTTCTTTCTATCGTCGAAAAGTTGTGCTAGCTTGAATATCGATACCTGTGACCACGACAACTTCCAAGATGGCTTCCCTGACGAAGCGAATTTATTCGTGTGTTTTCCTCATGTCGCTAAGACCCAATGGGCGCCCTCGTATTGAATCGACTCTATACAATACTTTGAAGTCCATCAATATCCTTAGGGCTACGAGAGGAGTTCGAACCGGGGCCAGAGTAAAACAACGAGCTGCCATGTTATCTTCGCAACGTATTCACACGTTCATCACTACCCATCAGCGCGTACAATCAGCCAAATATGGAGCTGGGCATTTAGCGACGAACTGTATAAACATCCCTACAGGGACTAGGATTACCTCTAAGGTACCTACGTTCTTAATAACTAATGCCTGCCATGTCTCAAATAAAGTTGACGAGTTGCACGGAGTCGTCGAAATGAATAATGCGACCGTGGCCATTGTAACCGAGTCCTGGCTGACGGACAGTGTATCATCAACTGCTGTTAGCATTGGCCAGTCTTTTAATGTCTTTCGCAAAGACAGACCTACTCCAGGCGGCGGTGTGTTGGCTTATGTCCACAGCTCTATTCCAACTATACGCCTAGAGAATATCGAAGCAGTGACAAAGAGGTTCTGTGGTTACTTCATACGCCACCTCCAAGACCTTTCAGTTGCATAATTACGGCTGCTTTATATTTTCCGCCAGGGAAAACGTGTACCGAGGGGAGAGAATTGATTGATCACATCACTGAGCGCTTAGACAACTTGCTGATAGAGAGACCTTTGGCGGGTATTATAATTACCGGGGACTTTAACCACCTCAACCCGCGTCAACTGTGTCACAGATTCAGCCTACGCAAGTTAGTCAAAATGCCTACACGTGGACAGAATACTCTAGATCAATTTCTTTCGAATATGGGTGAGCTATATTGTGAAGCACAACTTCTACCACCGCTTGGTCGATCTGATCATCAGTGCATCCTATTCTCTCCTTTAAACCAGCAGCGGCATGGGAAAGCAATATCTAGATCTGTAAGGACGTTTAAGCCTAATAATCTACGTTCTTTAGGGCTTAAACTTAATTTGGAAAGCTGGAGTGCTGTTTACGAAGCATCTGATGTCGATGAAAAAGTTGAGGCATTCAATAGCACAATAATTAATTCTCTTGACACCTGTACTCCCCTGCGTCACGTGCGTTTGCATTCTAGTGACAAGGAGTAGATGACGCCGCATATTAAAGATCAGATACGTGCTGGACAAGAGGCTTGGGTTAAAGGTGACATGGAAAAATATCAACAAAAGCGTGGAATGGTAGCAGCCCTCATATCTAGTGCTAAGCGTAAATTTTATGAAAGGAAGGCCTGCGATCTCCGTTATACGAATCCAAGCAAGTGGTTTAAATATATCTACTCGCTCTGTGGTGCCCAGCAGTTATCAAGAACCCCAACTGCGCCTAACAAGGCTGAACTACAGAAAACAGCGGACCTTCTGCTTGATGCTTTTGTTGCTCCTTGGAAGGACCGAGAGCCCACCGCACTGTCAGTCAGCGAGGTTGCCAATGAATTGGACGGCAGACCTCCGCCTGTTCCAAACATTGGGCAAGTCAAAGCCATACTCAAACATGTGAATCCGAGGAAAGCAACAGGTGCTTACGGTGTGCCTGTGTGGCTCCTTAAACGGTTTCACGAAGAACTGGCACCTGTTGTACACGATATCATTTGTGCCAGTATAGTACAGTCCAAGTATCCTACTAGTTAAAAGCATGCTTTAGTCAGCCCGGTACCCAAGGTTGATAATCCGACGGATATAAACAATGACTTTAGGCAGATTTCAGTTTTGCCACAAGTCGCCAAGGTACTGGAGAGGATCCAGCTTAAGCTAAACCTAAAGGACCTAAGTCTTAATGCTTCCCAACACGCTTTTACGGCGGACAGATCTACTATGACTGCGCTTGCCAGCATCACACAAGACTGGTATAACGCTACAGATTCTGGAAGTCTATATAATGGCGTGCATGTGGTCTTTTTAGACTTCCGAAAAGCCTTCGATCTGGTGGATCATGGCGTTCTGTTGACTAAACTCGCTGGCATGGGCATCACCATGAGCTTTTGGAAATGGACACAGAGCTATCTGTCAGGCAGAACACAGCAGGTTAAGCTCCCGGGAGTCCTCTCCAGACATGGTGAGGTGATTGCTGGGGTACCCCAGGGCGGTGTCATTTCTCCTACACTTTTTAATGTGCATGTCAACGATATTGAGGACTGCATCCCCAGGGGAATACCTGTATCCACTTGCAAGTACGCTGATGACTGCACCCTATACGAACTTGTTTTTAAGGACTCTGTCAGTCAAATGCAGGATGCTGTGACTCACTTGGAAAGATGGGCTGTGCAGAATAAAATGGAGCTGAATGCTAAAAAGACCAAAGATATGTGGATCACCTTCAAAAAGTCCTGTCCAATTCCTGCTCCTATTAATATTGGGCCTACTGAACTGGAGAGGGTTTCAGAGTTTAAACTACTGAGTGTATATGTACAGAACGATCTCAAGTGGAATACACATGTCTCAAGTATTGTCAGCAAAGCGTGCAAACGGATCCACTATCTTAGGGTCTCCCCAGGGACATTGGTCTTACAACTTACATCACTAAGATTAGACCTGTTTTAGAATATGCCTCGCCTGTCTGGGGAGGGCTGCCCATTTACCTCGAAGAAGATCTACAGAGAGTGCAGAATTGATGTCTAAATGTCATTGGTCTCCCTAGGGATACTGTTGAGTCACTTGTAACTAGGCGTCAGAATTTGACGAGGAAAGAATTTAAACGTATCCTAGGATCTGAAGCACATCCTTATAAACGTTTGTTAGAAAAGCCAGTGGATCATGGCCATAATCTAAGATCTTGTAAGACTAACCCAGCGCACCTCAGAATACCTGTATCACGTACTGTTAGGCACAAACAATCATTTGTTCCTAGAGGTGCTAAACTTAACTTGATTTGATATGTATATCATTATATAATATGTAGTGTTTTGAATTTTTATTGCAATATTACCGTAATTCTTATCGCCAAAGGTAATAAATAAAGGTTATTATTATTATTATAAACACGAGGTAAGCAACTGTATTAGCCACACTAAGTAAGACGCACGGAAATACGTCACCGCGACCTTCCTTTCAAAAATTCTAGCTTCGCCCCAGATGAGTGTAATTTTTTACAAACGTCTTTCAATAAAAAATTAGCCAAACAAGATAAAGTGTGTTTATTTTTTCTTTCTTCTGACAAGAGAAATTTTGTGGCTGTAACCAATCCCACTACCAACCAGCGCGAATTAAGAGTATATTTTTTCATAATACAAACACGCAAACATTTAAGAATTTTTTCATGCTTAGCGTGCGTATATCGAAACTTCCAAGTGCATCCATAACTCGATATACGCACGCTAAAAGCATGAGCAAATTCTTTTATAACAGAGCAACAAAAAGGATCTGCGCGAAGAAGCCTTTCATTTTGATAGAGTGCAAAATTCTCACAACGCACAAAAAAGTAAATAAACTTCCCTATTGGCTGGTCAAAAACACGCCACATTTTATTCTTTAGTTTGAGCGAGGACATTTGATCCAGTTTACCGATAACTGTGAATGAAAAGCTCAAAATTTACGGGGAAAATGGAGAAAATCAAAGCCAAACGAACTCAAGTGTCACTAAAAAATGTTTTAAAAGTCAAAGACCCGAAGTTATCAAGGGTTTTGATTGACCAAAATAATGTTTACGCTACCGTGCACGGTGCAATCGGAGGAGAGAGACAGCAGGAAACTTGCAGTTTTCTCTTGGGCAACTGTTATTTTTTAGTTCTGGCTGCAGGTAAAAAAAATGCTCACGTCATCGTATTTACGCACGGGCGTGCGTAAATAAAGATTTTGTTCACAGCGGCTCAATAGGACTTATATAGGACAAGCACACGCGCTATATTATAATCAAAAATTACTAACGATGTACGTGTATTGTAAGCATTCTTAATAATAACATTTCAAATAAGTGATACTAAACCACAATATTAGGCAATTGTTTTATTTTATTTCCAATATCGGGTGCGTATCGCGTGAGATACTCTAATGGCACGGTAAGTAGTGATACTAACCCGCGATATTGTTCAATGACTGTTTCTCCGTTGCGATGCGCGTGCTTGCCCTATATATGTCCTATGAGCCACTATGAACAAAATCTTTATTTACACATGCCCGTGCGTAAGTAAGATGACGTGAGCATTTTTTTAACCTGGCTTCAGAGTTTCCGTCCTGGTAAGCTGCAATGCATTTTTCCTTCTCTTTGAATATGGAAGAAACCAGAGAAGAACTTGCCAATTTTTCTATCGGCATTGATCTTTTAGGTCCTGATCCAACAAGCAAAAAAACATAAATCCGAAAAAACTCGCAAGTTGCACGTTTCGCAAATTTGTCGGTAGACCGGGTCTTTGACATTTAAAACATTTTTAAGGACACTTGAATTCATTTGGCTTTGATTTTCTCCACTTTCCCGGTAAATTTAGAGCTTTTCATTCACAGTTATCGGTTAACCGAATCAAATGTTCACGCTCAAACCAAAGTATAAAATGTGGCGTGTTCTTGACCAGTCAATAGGGACGTTTTTTCACTTTTTTTGTGCGGTTTGAGAATTTTGCACTCTATCACAATGAAAGGCTTCGGATATTCCCCAATTATAGCTAGGGGTATTAGGTCACGTAAGGCGTTTCGACCAATCGCACGCGGGTAAAAATATTATTATTATTAATCCCAAAAGTCAGCTATCACGCGCACCATATGCGCCATCTCTCGCTAAATGGAACTCGAGGAAAAACCTACCCCTTTCCGTCAACAATCTCGGGACAGAAAATCCAGCGACATGAAAGCCGTGGGTGATGATCCAGTGGATGACCGAGGGAAGGCTGGGAGAGATAAAAAATCTTCAAACAACTCGAGCGAAGTTGTTGATATCGACGGCAGTTCTGTAACAAGTAAGTAACTAGCCACAATCGGATCAATCGAGTTTCTTATGCTGGATAATGAATTTTTTTTCGAATAGAAGGCAATAAAATAAAATTACAGGTAGTCCGAATCTATTTCACTCGACAGGTAAGGGGATATTGTACTTGGAAAATGCAAGTGAATTATATGAAGTTTTTCACAACAAGGGAACGATTAAAAACGCTTCACCAGAGATAGCAAAGCTAATCATTTCAATTTCCATGAACGTTCAGTCACCTTAACCTTGATGCAAAGATGAAAGTATATACAATGTACTTCTACTCTTCGTGAATGTATCGTCCTGAGATAAAAAGCTGAGAATTCTGAGAAAAACACCAAATACCACATTCATAAGTATCTCTTAGTGTTTCCTTATTTATCTTGAAGGAAATATTGGAACTGATATAAAAGCCACGCTTCATCGTAGTCAGCGAAAGTAATCATTTCAGTTTTCACGAACGTTCAGTCATTTTAATCAAACTGAAGCATAGATGAAAATGTGAACTATGTATTTTCACTTTTCGTGAATAAATTTTCCTGGGATAAGAACTTGAGAATTTTGCGTAGACCACTAATACCACATTCATAAGTGTTTCTTAGTGTTTCCTATCTAATCTTAAATGGTATATTGGAGCAAGTGCGTGACGCTTTTCATATGCTTATTGGCAAGCTCGGAAGTGAATGCCGTGCACTATGTATGGACTTGGCTCGGCGACAAACTCGGTCAGTTCTAAGTTGAGTGAAGCAACGCTTTCAGCCAAATGCAAAACGTCTGTGTTTTTCACTTGCTTTGAAAACACGGTAGCACGTAGAAATATTGAATTGGAGTGCGCCGATTGAATAAACATGATCTATTTTCTCGCTCTTTCAGTAACGGCTGGCAAAGTCACAGATATCAATTTAGCAAAAAGTTGTAATATTATTGTCCTTCGAGTTACGAAAATAAATATAAATAAAGATTGATATAGACTCAGGCTATTGATGCAATTTCAATTTTTTAAAATTTTTATTATTATTTTCATGGATACTATCATTATGATCCTTCTCGTTATTGTTATCATTATTATTGTGATTGATATTTATCTTTTAAGCCGTTTCTGTCAGAAATTTTCTTGAGTTTCCTTAGAGGTTACTGGAACTACATTTATTTTATGCACTGAGTTCTTTTTGATTCAGAGCATTTTATCATACCGAAAATCTTACTGAAGTTCTAACAGATAGCCGAAACAGGTCTATTTTTCAGACGAAGTCAACGGCACCAGATTCTAAATAAATGGGACAAAAAAAGAAAAAAAAACAGATGTGGTCTTTGCAAGAATTTGCATTTGAATAGAACCTTTTCCCAGCAAACAGAGGGACAAAGCGTGCTAACCTACTGGTTAATTAATTAATTAATTCATCATCAGATTAATCATTTGATAAATAGTTAGATCGATAATTAAAAAGATAGGGTAATTCTTTTGTAAATATGTTGTAACTTCGTATTTTCTTTTTCCTTCAAAAACAAAGTTATTGAAAACCGCCCATTTACAACGTTTTACACTCAAGAAACTCCCCAGGGAAAAGCTGAAACTCCAGAAACTGAAAAGTGGGGTGATTTTGCACAAAACACAAGCCTTCATGGTTTCCGAAACATGTTTTTTCGGGCATCTCTTTATGTGCGAATACTGTGGCTTATCTTACTACTGGCCTCAACTGGTTTGATCTTGTATTTCATGTATAGAAGCTTTAGCAAGTATTTTCAATACCCCATTGCCACGGTCATGAGGATCCAATACCCAGATACAATGGTTTTTCCTGCAGTTACTTTGTGCCCCATGACAAAGTTCACGAAAAACAAAATTTTCATGACAGACGATGACGTAATGTTTCAATCATTGGGGCTAGACTTACCCGTTTGTAATGCAACAGCGCATGTCAGAAAGGGAAGGCCATGTGGAGAAGCCCTACTATGCTGTTGCGCATCTTACTTCCAAGACGTTTCTGTGGCTCTCAGTAACTGCACCGAAGAATACAAGAGAGAACTTCTTGATGTTATAATGAAAGACAAGAAATCTTTCAATGACAAGAAATTCCAGGAAGCCTACGGTCCAAACCTGCAGAGAAATCTAGCATGCCGTTTCGGCTTACTGGATTACAGGTGTTCTGGGAAGGATTTTTTACCTACTGTAACAGAGCTGGGGCTCTGCTTCACTTTCAACTCAGGGCGGAATGACAAGGAAATAAAGAAAGTGTCTCGTAGTGACTCAGCACGGGAGCTACATTTAGAATTAGATCTTCACTTGGATGACCATTTGGCTGGGTTTTTCTCTGAGGGGATCTTCGTCATTATCCATGATCAGGGAGTATATATAAACTCTGCAGATACTGTTCTTGTAGCCCCCGGGAGTTATGTTCGCATCAACGTCAAACGAAAAGTGGTAAGTTTATGTGCTAGTAAAATGCAGACATTAAAGGAGAGGTCTCGTTGATGAAGTAGTATTGAGTGCTCTCCCATCTAACCATGGCAGCCCGCGCCTAATTCCCGATTCTGGCCTTGTGCATGGGTTTTAATATTCTCGACCTTGCTTCGGAGGTTTTCTACGGGCCCTTAGTCCAGTTTTCCTCCCTCTACAGAAACCAAAGCAAAAATTTTACTTGATGCTCGATAGTATTAATGACTAGGCATATAATTGGTCTGCTTTTGTTCGTTCTGTGACCGCTTCGAGACGGGGGGCCGCGATCAATCAAAAGTGAAGGGTGGTCACTGTTCACGAAATCTACTTGCGTAGAACAGCTATAAGCAGCAGCACTTTTAAAAGATAGAGGACTCTATTGTTTCGTACTCTGCTTGTTTACATAATTTTGTTCCAACTATTTGTTCGCTTGTTTTCGCTTCAAAGTATCGCAACAAGAAAAGTCCATATGAGACAAAATGCACCGAGACAAAAAATCTTGCTGGTTTCCTAAAGTACGACTCTGACGGATGTTATTACGAATGCTTGTCAAACACAACAGGGAAGAAATGTGGCTGTAGGCTACCTTCTCTCGTTGACTCAGGTAAATAAATAAAATGATCCAGCTCAGGATTTTCCCTCATTCTTTTCTTTTTCCTCGCACTTTTCTTTTTCTGTCGTAAGCCTTCAAATATCAAGGGATCGGGTAATCAGATTTAATCCTCAACTCTTTTAATCCTCAAAAATAACAGGTAACTTTCAATCCTCCTCGGTTTTTGCTTTATTTCAATGTTTTGAAAATATCTTAACACCGAGGCGCATTTCATTATTTTTATAGCAAATGCGCAATATAATTATTAAATATTATTATTGTTATTATTATTATTATGATGATGAATGACCTGTCAAGTTATTTACAAATATGAAAGAAACAAACAGACCAAGACAAAAGCAACTTATCATATCTACCCCTCCCCCTTCCCATCTGTTCTCGCGCTATATAGGGGAGGAGGGGATGATTTTTCATTCTAACTGAGAGAGGAGTAATAACTTTTGATCCGCCTTAGCGCCTTTCTGATTGTTGGTTTTTCGATCGTCAATATTCGGGTGGTATATTGTGGTTATTCCTATCAACGTTCGTTGATAACATTCGTCATTCGTGTCCCTGAAACGCCGATATTTAATGAAACAGAAGTGTCATCATGATTAGATAGGCCTTTCTTTTCATTTAATAGTGCAATTAATTTTTTTTCCAAGATCGCATGAGCGAGAGGATCTGCTTCAGGGATGACTTTCCGTGTGTCTTTAAGGTGTATGAAGGTAATAATAATATACATGTCTTTCCTTCCTCCTTCCTTCGTTTGCACATTTTTGGGCTCCTTCTTGGTGTAGAAGACACAGGACACGTCACAATAGAAAACCGCCTCATTAACCTATCATTATCATTGTTTCACTTGTTTCTTTGCCGATTTGTTCATATTGTTTTACGTCAACTATGTCTTCTACACCGAGTAAGAGCCCGTCTTGGTCAGTTTCTAGTATCTGTCAGTGGTGTTGCCTGTCTACCTACATTTTGGCAGTCCATCCTTATAACAATCAAAGACTATCGTTACAGCTTTGTAATGATAGAAATATACTGAATCGAAACCTTGCGATCACAAATCGAGAAAAATCAGCCGATTTAAGGCAGCAGAAAACTCAGCCATGAGTATTCTACAGTTTACATGCTGCATAATGCAAAGCGTAATAGCTTTGAGATGAAATTGTCAGAAACTACCAATCAGAGCCGATATTCTGTATGACAGATATGACGTAACTGGAACTGATTTCTTTATCCTATGCTCTATATGCACAAGACTTGGTCAGCGGTAACCAGTGTGAATGCCCCCTCGCTTGTGAAGTGGTCAAATACGAGACAAAAACATCTGCTGCAGCCTTCCCAAGCCCACTGCTGATCAAACACTGGAAAATGCAGGGAGTTAATAAGACTGATGACTACCTCAGGTACGTCGATTGTAAACTGCTGAAGAGGACGCGACAATAGCCGATAGCAGTTAACAATGCAAAAAGCTAATACTTTCATGATCTCATCCCTTGGACACGGGGGAGGGAACTCGTGATATTGTTGTGAGATATTGAGGGATGCGTAACTTTTGGTTTATAATTATATTTTAATCAAGACACTACATAATAATTAAAATTGATTCCTGTATAGCACCTTGGGATCTAAATCTTCTCCTGTTTATTGGATTTGCAGGTGGCATGTTCTCCCATCATAAAAAGATTCCATACATGATTTCATGTTATTATATCTTACAGAAAAATACATAAAACTTTTCATCAATTCTTGCAAGAGCCCTCGTCATAAAATAAGCGACAGAGAGGAAAAAAATCAGAGAGGAATTCTCCACTCGACCTCCTGGTTAGGGCCTACTCTCGGCTCTAATCTCTAATAATGTTGATGGTGACAACAATTATTATTTCATTGATCTATGTGAATATTCATCTTTGCAGAAAGAATCTGATAATGCTTCAAGTTGGCTACACCTCCTTAAGTTATGAACACTTTAAGCAAACATCTCAGTACGACAGTACTGCACTCATGGGTATGTTGAATGATTACAGATCTTTTACCGATGTTTTATTAAAAAAAATAAAAAAATAAGATAAAATAAACGAGGCTCGCTCACTCTACTTTACTTCGTCTTCCTTGGTGTGGTTCGCTTGAAGTTCTGAGAGATTTATGCAGTGTCTAATTGGTCAACCGCACCCTACAGCTGTTTCACCATCCCATACTCCAACGTTCAAGTTAGGGTGATGTTGGCCGACGTTTTTCTTAGACCGGCCAATTGCTATTTTTGTCTCTAAGTTTTCAAGAATACTACGCTTTAGCGCTTATGCATTCCTGATTTAAGAGCTCGACTATCATTTTCAAAATTAATTACTATTACTAAGATTTAATTGCTAATAACCGCTACACACACACACACACACATTTTTATTTTTTTATTTTCTTACATATTTACAAGATATTCCTTTGACCCGCAGATAGTAAATTCTAATCGAGGCGGCTCAAAATTTATTTATTTATTTATTTTTTCTTTACTGACTTAATTTAATTACACTGGAAATAAAACGGAAATGAATAAAAATAACATATAAGGAAAAAAGATACACAAGAAAAGAAAAAAAAGGAAAATGACAGACGTTCATTGTAAGGGAGAAAAGGACCTAGAGTTTCTAGGTGTACCACAAATTAATGTTTGTGATAGGGCCTCACCTCCCTTGTTTGATACACACTCTTGCTCACTGGCTGATATAGAGTCTACGACCTGATTTTCAGTTGTTTGTAATGGTACTATGACTAAGTGGAGTCCAATTCGGTCTGTAGTCATACTAGTGATGACAAAATCGGACGACCGCGCAATTGGAGTCCGACTTGTTTATCACGAGTACGATTATAGACCGAATTGGACGACACGAAGTCCTATTACCAATTAATCATAAAAACTACATTTTCCCAGAAAAGAAGAATAGCCAAGTTATGAAAGAAAGGGACAATTTGCATTAAAAGACGGACAAAGGAGGCGTAAATTACTTAATGTTATTGTGCAATTGTGATTGGTTGATTTCAACTACAACTTTGAATGTGATTGGTTTATTTAACTGTCCGATAACGAACTGTCCGATTGTAACGATATCGATGTTATCGTTCTATTTACTTCCGGTCCGCATTTACGTCATAACTACCATGGCAACAAAACTTTAGAGACCATGCTTTCCGGTTTTGTAGAGTTCGTCGGACATCGATTAAATAGACCTGTGTTACTTCACCTGTGTGTGTCTTGTTCCTCTTATAAACAACGCCACATGGTGTCAGTGATTTGGGATTCTTCCTACAGAATCGTCGCTGAAATACTTGAGTGAATTTTCAAGCCAAACTCAGTGAATCTAGCTCCAGATGACCGAATCAGGCTCGTCGAGCGTAGCTTCAACAAGCACGCAGCCAGCAACTCCTCAATTTATCCAGTCCTCTATTCCTTTACCGTCGAAACTAGACTTCAAGGGGAACTTAGCTGTGAATTGGAAGAAATTTAAGCGGCTTTGGACAAACTACGAGATCGCCTCACGGCTCAGTACGCAAAGCAGTAATCTTCGAACAGCCACATTGTTGACATGTATTGGCCCAGATATCCTGGAGATTTACGATGGTTTGCCCTTCGGAAATGAAGAGGAGAAAACCGACATCGACAAAGTGATAGAGCTTCTAGACGCTTTTTTCATCGGTGAGACGAATGAAATATACGAAGCCTATCTGTTCAATCAGAGAGTACAGGAGGTCGGTGAGTCATTTGATGTTTTCCTTACAGCTTTACGTTCGTTAGCTAAAACGTGCAATTTTGGCATCATGCAAGAGCGAATGATTACAGACAGAGTTGTGGTAGGAATTAGAGATAACGCCACCCGAAAAAAGCTGCTAGCTGAGAACAAACTAACTCTTAACAAGTGTATTGATATTTGCCGTGCGAGTGAAACCACATCCAAACAACTTAAGGAGATGTCCCATGCGGAGGAGGTTAGCGCCGTTGCCACAGGCCACCCAAAATCGAAGATAGGTTTTCGCCATAATAAAGTACGAAATTTCAGTAAAGTTCAACGCCCCGTCCACAACAAAGTAACAGAACCAGTTAGATGTAAGTTCTGTCACAGAACCCATCCTTTAAAGAAGGAACTCTGTCCAGCATGGCAGCACAAGTGTGATAATTGTGGTCGAATGAACCACTTCTCAGTGGCTTGCAGAAGTCAGAAAGCTAACAAAAAGCAAACTAAGAAGTCAGTCCACAATGTAGAACAAGAAGTTCAGGAGTTTAATGACGAAGATTCTGATGATTACTTATTCAGTGTAGAATATGTGAGCGTCCTGTATGCAAAAAACAGCCCCAAGAAGATTTATGCTAACATGCGCTTGAAGGATGAAACAGTGAAATTCCAGTTAGACTGTGGAGCAACAGTCAATATCCTCCCAGCAGATATTTATCAGCAGGTATTTAAGGATCCGCGGATGGAACGCCTTCAGCCTACTCAATCTACCCTCGTCATGTTCAACAAATCAGAGCTGAAACCTCTAGGATGTACTAAGGTAGAGACCTTCAACCCCAAGAATGGACAGTGTTTCCTCACGGAATACACCGTCGTTCCAACAGGTCACACAGCACTCCTTGGTGCTGAATCGGTGCAGCAGTTTGGCCTCATAGTAATTAACACCGATAACATCATGTCTCTCTCGAATGAGATTCTCACACAGCCAGATCTCGTGAGCAAATTCGGAGATGTCTTCTCAGGAGAAGGAAAGCTCAAAGGAAAGCTTCACCTCGAGATTGATAAGTCTGTAACCCCTGTGGCACTGCCAGTGAGGAAAGTCCCCTTTGCAGTAAAAGAGCCTTTAAAACAGGAACTAGAACGCTTAGTTAAGATAGGCATCTTGCAACCAGTAGATGTTCCAACAGATTGGATTTCCTCAATGGTGGTCATTAAGAAGAGCACTGGAAAGATAAGGTTATGTATCGACCCAAAACCTCTGAATAAAGCACTCAGGAGAAATCATTTTCCCCTTCCAGTGATCGATGATCTACTACCACTGCTTACAAATGCTAAAGTCTTCAGTGTCGTCGACGCAAAGAACGGTTTTTGGCATGTGCAGCTAGACGATGAAAGCAGTCTTCTGACCACATTCGGTACCCCCTGGGGAAGGTTCCGCTGGACGCGGATGCCCTTCGGCATATCACCCGCTCCGGAAGAGTTTCAGAGGAGATTGGAATACGCCCTGGAAGGTCTTGATGGAATTAAGCCAATATTTGATGATATCCTTGTTTTTGGTGTCGGAGAAACAGAAGCTGAAGCACTTTCTGACCATGATGCAAAGCTGACAGCATTGTTAGAACGCTGCCGCGCTACTGGCATTAAGTTAAACAAAGAGAAGCTTAAGCTCCGTCGCAAAGAAGTGAAGTTTATGGGACATGTTATATGTCAAGATGGTCTTAAGCCTGACCCAGACAAAGTACAAGGTATCAAAGAGATGCCAACCCCGACAAGCAAACAAGATCTCAAGAGACTTCTCGGCATGGTAAATTACCTCCAGAAGTTCGCTCCTAACCTGTCAGAAGTTACAGCCCCAATGAGAGACCTCTTGAAAGAAGGGAACCAGTTCCGTTGGGATGAGCAAGTACAAGGTTGTAGTTTCAAGCGAGTTAAGGAGATACTCTCAGCTGCCCCTGTCCTCAAGTATTTTAACCCCAAAGACGACGTGGAATTGCAGTGTGATGCATCAGACCGAGGACTTGGTGCATGTCTTATGCAAGGAGGCCAGCCCGTGGCTTATGTATCTCGTTCCATGACAGAAACAGAAGTGAACTATGCCCAGATAGAGAAAGAGATGCTTGCAATACTTTTCGGAGTAGAACGTTTTGAGCAGTTTGTATATGGTCGACCTGTCAAGATCCAAACTGACCACAAACCCTTGGAGAGCATCTTCCGTAAAAGTCTACCTAGTGCCCCTAAACGTCTTCAGCGAATGTTGCTAAGATTGCAGAAGTATGACCTCCAAGTGTCTTACAAAAAAGGGACTGAAATGTATCTGGCAGATACACTGAGCAGAGCATACAGAGTGCGCAAGAGCACAAAAGAAGATGTAGCAGAAGATGTTATGTACATAGAGAACATGAGAGGAGACACTGAAAGAGAGCTAGAGCACATCAATATGATACAATACTTGCCAGTATCGGAACCAACGCTGATTGCCATTCAGCAAGCAACAGAATCCGATCCTACCCTGAGAGAGCTGAAGAAAACAATCAGGCAAGGTTGGCCAGCTACCAAGGCTGGGGTATCAGCAAACATCAGTGGTTACTTTACATTTCGGGACGAACTGTCTTTGCAGAATGGACTGGTCTTCAAAGGTGAAAGACTAGTTATCCCTATGAGCGTGAAAGCTGACATGTTGGCTAAGATCCACCGGAGCCACATCGGCATCCAAGGCTGTCTCAGAAGAGCAAGAGAAGTAGTTTACTGGCCTGGGATGAACAAAGATGTCGAAGATTATGTAGCAAAGTGTGCCATTTGCAACAGCCAGCCTGTCGAGCAAGGAAAAGAGCCAATGATTTGTCACGAACTGCCCAGTAGACCATGGGAGAAAATCGCAGTGGATTTTTTTGATCTGAACGGTGTAGATTTCATGGTGACCGTTGACTACTATTCAAGCTTCTTTGAAGTCGACAGAATGACAAGCAAGACAGCAGACGAAGTTGTGAAGAAGTTGAAAGCCCATCTTGCCCGCCATGGAATTCCCGACCAGCTTGTATCGGATAATGGACAGCCCTTTTCTTCCGCAAAGTTCCAACAGTTCGCAGACACTTATGGTTTTGAACATATAACAAGCTCTCCAACATATCCTCAGTCCAACGGCAAAGTCGAGAACACGGTGAAGACAGCAAAACATCTGCTAGAGAAAGCCGTCAAGTCCGAACAAGACCCATATCTTGCCCTGCTGGACTGGAGAAATACTCCTACAGAAACACTCAACTCGTCACCTGTTCAGCGATTATTCGGTAGAAGAACAAAGACTCCACTCCCAACCTCAAACCAATTGCTCAAGCCGAAGCTACCAGAGGAGGTTGATCAGAAGTTGAAGCTACAAAAGGCTAAACAATCCCTGTACTACAATCAAGGCGCCAAAGAACTGAAGGAATTGCGCCCAGGAGACACAGTGCGATTGCAGCCACTAAAATCCCACTTGGGAAAGAAGAAGGCTTGGACCCAAGCAAGAGTCGAAGGCAAAGTCGACATAAGGTCCTATCAAGTCAGAACAGAAGATGGAAGAGTTTATAGGAGGAACCGCAGACACCTGAGACATACACGTGAAGTGATGCCACACAGTGAAGATGGGATGAGATTCTCCCCAAAGGCAACACCAATTTCTGCAAATTCTGGTAATGAAATACCATCGGTACCACCTTCCACACCAAGTACTGCAGTCAGTAAGGACCAATCAGACACAGTACCTTTGCAGAACACGGACAAGCCACATCCGGAATATCCACCTCAGTCTGCAGCAGATAAGCAGGAGATTTCCCCATTGGTGACCACCACTCGATCTGGACGAATTGTGCGACCACCCACACGTTACCAGTGATTGGGGTTATCGAAAGAACAAAAAAAGGACATGACAAACTCTTAATTTTCTTTTTTTTTTGTAGTTTATTTTAAACTAGGATTGAGACATTCAGTTACGTTTACATTTTTTTTTTGTTTCCTGAAGAAAGGGAGATGTAACGATATCGATGTTATCGTTCTATTTACTTCCGGTCCGCATTTACGTCATAACTACCATGGCAACAAAACTTTAGAGACCATGCTTTCCGGTTTTGTAGAGTTCGTCGGACATCGATTAAATAGACCTGTGTTACTTCACCTGTGTGTGTCTTGTTCCTCTTATAAACAACGTCACATCCGATGACGAACTGTCCGATAACGAACTGTCCGATAAAAACTTGGTTAGTGAATTAGTGGAAATAGGAGTTTTTTTAAACCAATCACAATCGAGGAAATCGATTTTTTATGATTACAGTAGAAATCGGTTAACGATGTGTTTACTGTACGGTTTTGTTTCCTATAGGAGAAATTGGTGGTACCCTTGGATTATTTCTCGGCTGCAGTGTTCTAACTGTCATTGAATTTATTGACTTCGCCATCTACTTGTGCTACATTCGAAAGAAGAAGACCTCCTGATATCCAAGCTGTACTCTGTTAATTAAGCACTTAACTGAGGTTCGAAGGTGAACCCTAAAGGTTATTTACCGAATGAGTCACCATCCGTTTAGTTTTGTAATACTACAAGCTGTGGTATTTAAATTTGATAAGCCTCGTTTGATAAAGTGAACTTATTAAAATGAAAAAGCTTCCATAGGTCACTCACTTTTTTAGAGCACGTGCAGAAACTTTCACTCTTGACAAAACTTTATTCAAGGAAGGACTTTCCAAGATGGTTGACGCATGCAGACTTCTGTGGGAGGATAGAACTGACCGAGAGATTTCAAACAGTCTATAATCTCTTGATGTGACACACATCTCTAAAAAAAGAAACAAACAAACAAATCGTAACAAAAAGCGTCAAAGTTTTTCCTCCCTTACTCAAATTTAAATTCACATTTTATCGGCTTAATTGACGGCTGGCTAAACAAAAGCCTAAAAGTTTACTCAGTAAACAGTGATTTAAAATATCGTGGTTTAATTTTTAAAAAAAGTCCTCTGAACTTCAGTTGTCAAAATGTTCTGAGCACAGTTAACGAATGGCAACGATTCAGACAAGAAGGCACACCGAAGTGTGTTCAGATAACTATGCTCCAAGTGTATCTGAGTGCAAAATTAAGAATGTTATCTGGTATTTAGGAGGGTCTCAACGGCGCGATGGCTCTAACGGCTAACGGTTAATATCATTCCATTGTTGTTACCATAATTTTTTTCACCTTTAACATTTTTAACGATCATCGGTTAAAGTGTGTCACTTTTTTACGCCAAACGGCTAAGGTTTTGGGCAGTTTTACGGCTAACGGTTAACCCCGTTGAGAATCTCCACAAGTATTTGATAAAAAAAGGACCAAATTGAAAAGGTAGTGATCATTGTTTTGAAATTGCCCTTTGTTCCACGTCTGTCAGATTAGCACGTGGCCGGTTGTTTTAGTCGTGATGGTAATAACTGAGAATGTTCATTTCCCGACAAAATTGACAAAATTCGGCACGTTCTTCTAAAAACCCAGAAGAAAGTCAAGAAAAGCCTAAGGCTGCACACTCCATTTCCGAACGCCCGATCGGAGTAGCGAAAACTCCAAGCTCAAAATGAGCGGATGGCCACAGATCCAACGCAGAATCCAAGCACACATACTGTAGTTTCATTTCAATTTACTACAATCTCAATCTTCCCCGTGAAGTCGACGCTAAGCCGCAGTTTGCTTGAAAAATTTCCAGTTTACAGTTTAGACGTTTCCAACGGCCCGCGTTCACATTCAACTTGATACACGACCGTTGAAAATCAGCTTTGTAACCCTGCCTCCTTTTTAAACTGAGCCTCGCTGAGGACCACACCGTCACTCGGCATGAACAAATTCTGTTAGAACCACGAGTGCTAAGTTACGGTGTGGATCCCGGTGAGGCTTAGTTTGGAGCTGTGCAGCGTTGGGCTTTTCCTATGTACGTAGCAAACCTCCAAATAGATAACTCGCTGAAATGGGTTCCCTTCAACGTAGTGAGCGGCTAGATAACAAGCAATGCACTGTGAAGTAAGGTGAGGTATTTTTTATGAGAATTTGACCTCTATTTTTATTCGTTAGAGCGGTCGTAAATATTCCCATACGAACTCTTATAACTTCGCCATGACCGTTATTTCGTAATGCACTTATCAGCGGCCATCCCGGGGGGCTGACCACGGGGACATATGGGGGAATAGCGCGGGATCTGCTGACTTTTGTCACCAAGTTTTGGCCCGGGACGGGGGCATTGGACCGCTTTTGCATTTCCGAGGCAAGATACACGGGGAAAGACCCGCGGGATTTGTAACATCGCCGTTTTTAACTTTGAGCCCTGTATAGCCCTGTGTAGTAAAAACAGGCCGAGGTAAGTATATGTTAGTTTAAATTGTCATTCTACGACTTACAAGGTATAAAGCTGAGCCTCGCTGTGTGCAGAAAACAGGTGGACCAGCTATTTTTGCTTACTGTATATATTATTGTTAAACTTTTACTAAAAATTATGCAGGAAATTACGTTACAATTTGGGAGTCCTTCCAAATTATGCTCCCCGGGGGAGGGACAGTAATGGCTTTTTGGGGAAGAATATTGGCCCTGGGTAGGTGGAATTTGCAAATGTCTTGGTGCAAATGCCCCGGGGTTCCCCAGGGTCAACCCCTCGGGATGGCCGCTGATAAGTGCATAAGACGATCATCTCACAGCCGGAGCTTGGACCGCCTGTGTGTGAAATAGCTGTCGTCAGCGTTGCCATAACCAGTCTTAACTCATGATCAAGATTTCGCATGGTTCTCTTTGACAAAATCGTTATTTTTCTCGCCTAGGGGAGACGTTATCAGAAATGATGAATTTATAAATACGATTTAGTTTATTCTTGACTTGATATGCGTTCTGAATTTTATTGATTTCTGAACCGGAACGGTTCACAGGAGAATTTTGCGTTGCGTGACAATAACAGAACAACAAAAGCAATACGAGTAGGAAATTGTGGTACTTGGACTTCTACAAGAAAAAACGCATAAAGTTAAATAAACAGCTTATTGGGCCATAGCGATCTGACATGGAAATTTAGTTATTCTAAATTGAAGCTGTGAACATAGGCCGTTGTCCACTGATCAAATGTCAATCTATTTAATCAATCAGTCTATTGTTATGAAACTCACGTGCTGAGCGCATGACAGCCTCATCTGCAATTTCTGATTCAGCTCTCCTAAACTAGACAACAGTCTTGTATGTTATTATTTCGCCCGAGGTCGTAATACTCGACCAAATGCTGTTGAAAACGTCGTCAATGATTTCCCGGCGTACTTATTAGTTTGTTAGTTCAAAACGTTGGATAAGTATTTAGAAATGCAGACAGCGTCGAGAAGGTGAAATTTTCCCGAACAAAATGGCGATGTGTTCGTTCACGATGTAGGAAATATTTTGCTTTAGGGTAAGTCAATAGTTTTCATTTGGTATTTCTATAATTAGCGATTCAAAATGAACCAGATCGTGGGAAACGTTTGAGAATTTCTTTGACGAAATGGTTACGGTGGTATCGAACAAATAGCGCGTGTTGACCTATTTTCCTTTTAACACCTGAAGAAATGATGTTTGAACGTCAAAAGCACGAGGGAAATGTGATTACGGAGGGCTTAAGATTTCTTCAATGGTTTCCTAAACTTCAGGGCAGCGCTCTTATATCATTAACTCCGACGCTTACTTCCTCTGTTATTTGGTATTAGGTTATATGTGGTAATATGTAGTCTAAATCTTCCAAAGCTTTTCAGTTTCTTTGCGGTTGAATAGCTTTCCTTCTTGAACTTCTGTGGTATCAGTTCGTGTTGTTTATATTATCTTCTCGAGCGGGCATAGTCATGAGAGCGTTGATGATTTTTCAAAATGAACTTGCCAGGTTTAAATCTACAAGGGAGGGGATTATTCACTAGAAGTTCTTGTGTCTTTCGTTTTAACGAATAAAAATTTAAACAGGTCGAGTTATTGTTTATGCGATGTTAATCAAGCCGTGACTGAAAGCTGTCGCTATTACGTGAACTTATTTAATTGCTCTTGCATTGTTTAGTCTGTCACCAAGCGCCTGGTGACAGTTTTTTTGCAGACGTTTAGATACTGGTTATGATTTGTGTGAACAGAGGCATTTTAATCATGTTTACGTCGAATTTTCTCACGACGTAGGCGAAATGTCAAGGAATAGAAAAAGAAAACACTGAGCTTCAGTTTTCATGCGAAAACAAGAATAAATTTATATTTATTCTGTTTATTCTTGTTCTCTCGTCACTATATTTCGACTCATAGCGTAGCTCCAATTTCTGCATATAAAACCACACACAACCCACAATTCCTCCAATCGCTTTGACGAAGGGCTAACGCTCGAAACGTGGCCATTTACGTTAACAACTCAGTTTTAAATACTTAACTACCCTGTTATTTATTTAGAGCGGCGAGTACCCGGCCACCTCCTCCAGAACACGTGATACACTCAAAGTCTGCACGAGAGCCAGCAGCAAGTCTGGGTGAAATACTCACCTACCAAAGGCAGTCTTTCCTTTTACATTCTATTGCGTTATATACTCTAAAAAAGCCGCGACAGGAAAGTTCTGGAAGTCAGTCATGGCGTACCACAGGTAATTATCTGCTGGCATCAAGAACGATACTAAGCTTTATCTTTTAAATATATTCTTTTTTTTTTTTCTTCTTCAATTATTTGTTTATTTGCATGTCTACAAGTCTATTCCGTTTATAGAGCAGGTTTAGTAGAGTCTGTCAGGAAACATTCAAAATTTCGATCAATAATGTAACAGGGGGAAATCAAATTGTTATGAACATCTTTTCATGAATTACTTCTTTTCATTAGCCATTCAACTTATTTCATAGTTAACATCATCGAAACATTTTTAATAATAAAAGAAGTTAAGTGACACGAAATTAAAGAGTCATAACTTTCAAGCATTACTTTGCAGTTCCATGTCTTTTGATGCAGAGTTAGAAGACTTACCATTTCCCATATCGCCGGTTTGTATAACTTGTTTTAAATAGTAGATTACACTTTATATCGCGGGTTCCATTTCAGAGGATGGTGAATTTATTTAAAAGACATTCTTTGTTTTTATCTTTAGTCCCTGCTGAGTTCGTCTCTTGTGTCGCCAAATCCCGTGGAAACTGTCAACAATGCTGAGCAATTCATGGTGACTGGAGACTATGGTACAGCTGCAGCGCTTTTTACTTTAGCTCTTCGACACTCAGAAGTTGTCGTTCCTCCTGATTTGAAAAGTGCTATTTTATGCAAAAGAGCTAAATGCCTACTTCGTCTGGTAAGTATCGTCTCCCTATCTCTCAACCATCTTTATGTGACGACCCGTTTTTTTTTTTAAGGCGCTCGATGAAAATGTAAGCGACTGACGTGCGAAAAAGTTTGGCTTAGTTCTTTCCATTCGACCCATAATTCTCGCGGTTTTGTTCCTCACGACACAGGCTACGTCTAACTAAAAGCTAAGTGTTCATTAGTGATACTTTTTTGCCTTTGATCTTCAGAATTACGTTCAGCAAGTTTTGCGGGATTGTTTAGCTGGTAAGAAAATCAGAATATTAATTAATCTTTTCTTTCCAGTTTATTT